TAAGTTTTTATTAAAAAAATTAAACTTTTTAATAAAAACACAGGCAAATTTGCCTGTGTTACAATTTAAGGGATATTATTGCATCGCTCAATCCACATTTTTCAAAAATTTCAAATAATTTGTGGTATATGGCACTAGATAGTACAAATGCTGCAGAAGCAGCTCATGCTATGAGTAATCGTGAAGGCAAACAGCTTAAATTATTAACAGCAATTTTAAAGTAGATAATTTTTTATAATTTATTTGATTTTTAAATCATCATTAAAATATAATTAATTGATATTATTTTTAGAGGACAAAAACTAGATTTACGCAATTTTAAGAAAGTGAAATTAAAAAAATTATAATGTTAGCCCAAGTGGACATAATAAAAGTAATATTACACGAAAAAAATTATCAATTAAACGAACTAGTTAGTATATTTATACTTAATTAATTAATTTTATTTAAGATATATTTGTATTAAAATCACTATTTATAATATCTATAGATAATCGGCAATTAAAAAATACAAACTGAAAATCTCAATCAAGTACTTCACAAATAAGCAATAAAAGGTTAAAAAAATCACAAAAAAATGAAGAGATTGATTTAACTAATGATGAAATTACTGTAAATAAAGACAATTCTAAAGAAATGTCACAATTAGAAAAATTGGATTATGAAGAACGATTATTACAACTTGAAGAAAGGAAAGAAAGATTAAAAGAATTGTGCATCTCTAATTTAATTAAAGAGCGTGAATATGGCTTAGAAAACTAGTCAGATATGCTTATCTAATTAGTGTTAGTATTGCTTTATTAATTTGTTTGAAAGAAACAATTATTTTGCATAATCGCTTATTATTAAATTATTTGTAAAAAAAAAAAAAAACTTCTATATAAATAAAGTTATTAACATAGCTAATATATTATACATTACATTTACGTATATACGTTCATACAATTTTATTTTCGTCACCATACGCAACATACAATTTTTTATTTTTGTTACCATACTTAACTACTTTTGTATTCCCGACTATACTCCTTTAAGTAATACCTCAAGTGAGGTTGTATATCAGAATCCCGACACACAAAATCCCGACACACAAAATCCCGGCAACAAAATCCCAATACACAAAATCCTGACAAATGAAATTCCTAATTTTAATATTTTTAGGATTTTAATTTGTCAGGATTTTGTGTATCGGGATTTTGTTGCCAGGATTTTGTGGGTTGGGATTTTGTGTGTCAGGATTCTGATATACAACCCTCAAGTGATACTACACTAATCAAGTCATACTACACTATCATGTTATACAAAACTAGTCATGTTATACTATATTAGTTTCATCATTATGTTAAATGTTAAAAGTCACATCATATTGCACTATCTACATCTCACTACATTATCATGTCAATATGTCAAATGTCAAACATCATGTCACTTACATCACATCAATATAACCTCTAGGTAGTATGTCCCCTATATCATAGACATAGTAATGTAAGTAGTAACTATTTTGAGAAATGTTTGCACCTTTAGTTATGACAAAGTTATGGCAAATTGGGACAATTCGCCTGCACCTCTAGCCCCTACTCTGCTCTAACCTTATTACTAACCCTACTCTAATCTTTTGACAACAAGTACTTAAAGTCTTTATGAATAACAACACTATAATGACAAAAACTTGAAATCTCCACAAACATTATCACTGAAACAGCTAAGCCTTAAATCTTCAACAATGACACTAAAATGACGAAGCTTGAAATCTCTATGAACAACAGTGCCAAAATGATGAAAGCTCAAATTTTCTACTTCATAAATGACAACACCCACTGCAGCAGCTCCACCACCTGGTTTTCTAGTAAAACAAATCTACAAGAAAGAAAGAAAGTATTAGTTCAAAGCAAGAAAAAAAAAGTTAAACAATGAAACAAACACATATCAGGTTCCTGATTTTAATCTTCACTACTGCACTACCGGTATTTCAGAAAGCAAAAAAGAAAAAATAAATCACAAAAAAAAAAGCAGATCTAGATCTAAAAAAACAAACAAAAAACAAACAAAAATCTAATTTAGATCACCTAATCCTGAACTAGGAAAAAGGATAATATATGATTGCTGATCTTAAAAATGATTAGTTAATTATATAGGGTCGCATAGTGATGAGTTGCTATTGTATTTTTGCCTTCTAAGTAAACTTGTTCAGAACAAAATTTTTTTTTTTTAAATATTGAGGTGAGTACTTCGACCCTTAATACTTTATTAGTACTGAATGTAATGCTTAGCATAAACTAAGCTATAATATATTTATATTGTAAGAGTACAACTAGCTATACATACAACTTTTGATTGCCTATTTAAGTAGTTCACTCTAAGGTTCTATACTAGTTTCTGTACCTATAATCTGCTAGAAGATTACTTATTTAAACCTTCTGATTTTATATTTGTACTATGATGCCTATATCTAATCCTTTTATTTTGGGACCTGAGACTTTAACTCCTATTACCCAGTCTCTTTTCTAGAACCAGGAAGGGGTATTTGACCCTGTATTAAACTTGCTAAAATAGTATATATCCCACATATACACTCACCTAAATTTTTGGTAACCTACGCTATAGCTTTATCTGCATACTTAGGAGTTATTTACCTCTATAATTACTTATTAATGCTTTTGTGAAGTTTGGTATTTAGATCCTGGTACCCACTTTTCATTTTTTTCATGCCCTGTGTTCTTTGTTTCTTTAACCTTCCAATCCAGTTAGCCTGGCAAGGTTGGTCTCTTTAGGCTTTAAGTGCTTTTTGGAACTTTTTCCCTTGGTACATGCTTTCAAAACACATGTTCTTTTTCTCTGATGCGACTTCGGCAGCCAGGTTGGTAGATCTCCCTATCACAGGATCTTGTCAGCCAATTCTACTAATTCTTCAGTTCAATCCAGATCTGTTTCATGGCACTATCAAAGATCCTCACTACTTCTTTGCTCGGGTCTTGCCAAGCTGGTTTCAGATCTTCAAGTCTTCTTTATTAGTTTTATATGATCCCAGAAGTCTTATTATGGGTTTGTACTGCCTAAACTGGTTTGCATTTCTCTGCATAACACAGATACTTCTATAATCTTTCAATGCACAAGATGTATTGGTGTGGCCAGAATTATAGGTAATAGAACTCAATATATCAATAAAGATCCATTACTATAATACAAGTAGTTTTGTCCAAACTGTCACCAGTAGGATTTGAACTTGGTATCATAGTCAAGCTAGCTTGGGGTGTGACAACTCTACAACTACTCTAAGTCGCCACACCTTTTTCCAGAACAAAATTTTAAATATATATATTTGTTAAAATATGATTTTTTTGAATATTTTACTAAGTAAAAAATTGAATTAACTTTGTATAAATTTTTTTTTTTTAAAATAAAAATTTTTATACAAAGTTAAGGGTAGTAACATTTATCATCTAATTTTTTTTTATTAGAGGCTTATCCCCCCAGCTCTTAATATATAATTGATCAGGTATTATATATAAAATTTTAATTTTTTGACCTTCTTTCCCTCTAAAAAATCATCTAATAAATGTCTATACTCTAATTTAATTTTTTACTTAGTAAAATATTAAATTTTGTTTTAAACAAGTTTACTCAAAAGATAAAGATAAGTAGTCTTAATACAAAAAAAAGTTATATATAGAAAAACTAAAAATTTATTATTTGTATATAGTAAACTTATTTTTTTTACTAATATAATCAATTTTCACTTTCTAAATAAGTTTGTTCAGTATAAAATTTTATATATAAAGCTATACAAACTTAATAATTCATTTTATAATCTAACCATGTCAAAACTTACAAATTTTTTTAAAAAAATTTTAAATATATTTATTATCCAGGTGAGTTTTTTAAAAAAATCTATAAAAAATTTTATATATATTTTATATATAAAATTATTTAAAATAAAATTAAAAGCTAGATTGCCAGGTTAATTTTAAAAATTTTATGTTATAAAAACTGAATTATTAAGTTTGTATAGCCTAATTGCAATTTTAAAATTAGCAAAATTTATTTTTTTAAAAAAATTTATTAATAAAATCTAAAATTTTTACAAAATTTAAAATATTTTTCTAAATTAGCTTATTCTACTATTTTTAATATATTTAATCTTAAAATTTGAAAATAAGTTAATTTGTAAATTGAAAAAAATATCAAGCTTAAAGTTTATAGTAAATTTATATATTTTTTATAATTTTTATTATAAAAAAAACTCTGTACATGTATAGTGGCTTAGTGAAGTAGTCTAGTTATTATTCTACTAAGCAGCAGGTCTAAAGTTCAAATCCCATAGATAACATTTTCAAAAAATAAATCTGCATTATGATATAATTATTTATTGATCAGTTGGGTTCTGGAATTTATAATCTTAATAGCATTATATAGGGGGGAGTCAATAGAAAAGTGCAAAAATTTTTCTAAGTAAAAGTTTTCTTGACTTTAAGCTTAAATATCTTAGCAATTATCTTATTAAATTTAATAAATTT